CATCCTGCTACACTTTTCTAATGAAGTGAATAGCATCGTCCGAGCTCAACTAAGCACATGCCAATCTCTGTTCCGACCCATTCATAGCGACCCACAGGCTAATGCAAAAATATTAGGTTGTTTTACAAGTTTGGTGTTGTGTTCAAATCAATTTTGCTCAAAAACTAAATGGTCCCGGAGAGCTTGAAGCTTACCAAAGCGGGAAACTTGTGATTGTTCCTCTAAAGGCTTGTAATATACTTACATATGTGAGAACAGCGCAGCATCGTTTTATTGGAAGCTTGAAAATTTTTGTTTTTTCGCTTATTAACAAATCAAATGCAAAACAGCATATGTAAATGTCTTACGTGGATTGTTATGCGGAGCGAGTTTTTTTCTGGTGTATTCTTTCTTTGGACAAAAATATAAAAGAAATTTCAATCTGGACATGAAAAGTTTTCAAAATCGACTTCTAACTCGTGATATCCTGAAATTGGGTGCAAACTCTTATAGGGTTCTCATAGAGCTTATTTTGTTGTATAGAGCAGTATCTTGCTTTCTATAGAAATTATAATCAGGTTTTGATTATAATCAGAGTTGAGAAGTGTGTGAATTGATGCGGTGGGAATTCAAAACTGAAAAATTTGTGAAACAACCTGATTTTTCCGTAGCTGACTCATATTTCCTCGAGCACGACGTATCCCTCTTTGTGACTGAAGGATGAGGCAACAAGTGACGTTGGCGAGGATGTAAAAAATACACTTCATGCAATTTTTGCTGCATTACTTTATGGTTGATGTTTGAACTTTAGAACAAGTGGGTCCTTACTAAAGAGTCCTTCTGCGGCTCAAGATTTTTGTAAGCAACAGCTAACCAAGCTGCGTAAACAAAATTCAGCGAGCTGAATTCATATATTAGGTTGTCCCGAAAGTTTTGTCGGTTTTTCCAAATCGCTATAAAACCACGCACAATAAAGACCTGCATGAGTTTTAACACGCATTTGATGCAGCTTTTCCTTCCCTCTCTTATGGATAAATTTTCAAACCATAATCTTGTATGCTTTTTTTTTGATAACTCAAGATACTCCACCCGTCAATTTTATCTGCTCAAAGTTAGGCTAATTTTTAGAAATTTCTTTCCAAAGTTTCGGAAAAGGTTAATATGTATCAAATAGAGCAATTCTCGGACTACAAGATAATATTTTTATTTTCTCCTAGTCTGTTGTTTTTAGTTACTTTTTCGGAGGTCTCGACTTTTGGCCAAGTCATGAAACACGTAACTGCAGCAAATAACGAAAGCTTTACGAAATTTCTGTGAATTGAAACATGATTCTTATTAGACATCATTTATGCAACATAACAAAGTTTGATTTGCTTTGAAAATGCAGCTTTTCAAATTTTTGATACTTTTACGTGGTAAACGTAATCAAAAAGTCGCGGTTTTTGTTTAAAAAATAATTTTAACGGACTTGTTATACGTTGCCTATGTAATCTAAAATAAATACAATATAGCCAAAGGATTCTACATAACAGTTACTAGCGCTCTTTGAAAACGCCAGAAAAAAATCTTTTGAATTCAGGAAATATTTGGCATTACTGTTGAGCTGCTCAGAAGCCATGGCGATAACATCGCGAAGGAAGAGTAGATCAGAAGTCAAATGCAGTTGCAAGAAAGAGGATAAAAATATGAACCAAAGGGTACCTACATCGTCCACTCAGATAATTGCCGGGGGCAGGCGGTCATGCGATTTATGGGCGGGCGGGCACCGGAAAAAGAGTTCGCTGATTTCTTGCGGTCCGCTTGCAGATATTTGGAGGAATTTTAGCGAAATTTTAGACGAATGCTTGAAGAACAATCAATCGCGGTTTCCTTGTAGATTAGCTGTTTTGCATACTTTCGCGGACCTTCCGCGAGAATATGCAAAACTTTCGAGGGCCGCACGGTCCTCTGTGGAGGACCGCGCAGCCCTCAGGTACTTTCCGCTTGGAGAAAGTACCTCAAACTTGAGTAATTAAACCATCGATGACACCTCTGTCATGTAGAGTCTCACCTTTGCTCGTCGTACGCCCGAAATTGCTTAAAAACCGTCCGAGCGCCAGCTGAAAATTTGACCAGCGCTCTCTGAAAGAGATTATTTGACGAGCGCCTGCAGAGAATTCTGTGTTGCTGCCCGCTGGCAGAGCATTAGACAGTAAAGGAAGTACCGCTCGCTGAAGGTTTGGCCACGCCCCGAAATTCTGCTGACCGCTTGTAGAAAAGCGCGAGTTTGCGAACCGCCTGCCCCCGGCGATTATCTGAGCATGGATTGGTGTTCTGTAGGTTTCAGTGAGCGATGAAAAAAACCGACAAAGCTTTTGGGACAATTCAATAATTACTGTGTTCCACGAAGGGAATCGAAGGGAAAACAATTCATTATTATAACCGCCACTCCACGTAACCCTTCCTCTGAGATACTGCGCCAACTTGAAATTTGAAGTTTATAACGTTTTGGCATACACAAGAAGTGATATGATATGGCACCGAACTAGCCGCCCTCCGAACTACACTGTCTGTATAAAAATGTCGATATCAGCCAATGTTCTGAAGATGTCTTAGGTTGCAAAACATTGAAAGCGTTACGGTGTAGTTAGTTTGCGCTGAATTCACAGTAAAAATACCTAAATATTTATATAACTCAAAGTCTGTAGGTTTGTCAGTGTATTTGTCACGGAAACCTCCGTATGTGACTGACCGACAAGCACCTAATTTCGCAGATGTACTTGTGCTTCGAAACAATCGTCTGCGATTTACATTACTTCGATAGTTTTTTTAGCAAGCGCAATATGTGATATTATAATTTGAACAACGCTGATATAACTTGCAAAGTCGTATTCGAGACGAACAGCTATCTAAGGCTCACTTCGCACTTGGCTATGCTTTTGGCCGTGAAGCGCTGCAGGCTCTCCGAACTTTCTGAAGTTTTTTGTAGCTCAGCTTGTGAAGAGTCCGTTTTTGTATTTCGGCCCCGTGATTGTTTCCTCCTCTCCTGCCTTGGTCTTGCTCCTCCCTCTCACGCCCCCAACAGTTCATCCTTTGTACTTTTGGGGTTTTGCTTTATATACATGTTTTGGCCGCAACTCAAAACGACGAAGAATATGGAATAAATCCCATTTGTCGAAGTACTGAAGCGGTTTTTTACGATCCAGAGAATTGCGACCAAAATAATGTCTCACAAAATGAAATACTGAAAAAAAAATCTGACAAGAAAAATGCCACGCGATAAAAACTTGTTAGGGATCACATTACGGCTATGCTCATTAGGTAATTCACTGTTATTGTAACGAGTTCAGTGCATTACTATGCTAGCTTACTGGCATGTGAAACAATCCATCTAAGTCCAGATTGTTCCTCAGCTTCTTAGATGATTTTTGCTATGCGATGGATCAATGTTTTTTCATATTTTGCTGGGGTAGCCAGGCGGCGGTTGAAAGCCGGTCGCCCCCTAGCAGACAAAATCAGTCACGATTACTGCAGTTTCATAAAAAAAAAGTGATTCTGTAGTTCCAAATTGCAATCAGAATCACATATCAGGGAAAGCCTTTTTTCCTAGATGAAACCATCCGTTGTACCCGCTCCTGTTTAGTGCATAGTTCATATGGAGACCAATTCCAGTGACAAAATCAAGAAATCTATTGCTTTTCAGAATGCGTTTCAATCTGGCCGAGGGAGGGCATGCACTTTTTTACGGCTGTATAATCAGCAAAATGAAGACAAGATAAAACAACATGTTAATTAGATTCATAAAACTATGCGCAAGCTTGCTTCACCTGCACAAGCAATCCAGCTCACGCAGTGCATAATGTTAGATTGTCACAGACAATATTGAACATGATAGAGCCTATACGAATACCTTCAATTCAAAATCAACTCGTTTCGTTTCTTCTCGATGTTCAAGTCAATGTCAACGTGTTGGTAATCACCTATAATATTTGACAAAATTCTAATTTTTTGAGAGATAGAAAAGGCCAATCACATGCTGCTAAAGACTCTTCACAGGCTTAGTTACAAAAAAGAGTTACAAGTGCGGGAAGCTTGCCGCGCTCCATGACCAAAAGCATGACCGAGGGCGAAATGAGCCAACGAAGTTAAGTGGGTCAGGGTCAAAAAAGCTCAAAAAGCCTGACCTTTCGGAAGGTTGTGGCGAACCCCATTAACTACTCTTGAAATTTTTTCCCAACCCTCACATCATTTGTTAGCGCAAATCGTCTTGGTTTACATCAGATATTTTTCCGCGTGTTGCTTTGTGATGGTCCGTAATGAAAACACCCTCGGTGAAAAACGCTGTTGCTGGAATGGGCTTCGCTTAATTGTGAAGATTAGCGGGGATTGCAGTCATAGCACCCCACACTCCCACGCTGAAATCAGTGAAAAACTAAGCTTTACTCGTTTGCTTCTAGGTGGTAAAACTTTTCACTCACGCTTTCTAGCCTAAATCCAGCGCTCACGGCAATAGCGGATTACCACTCAGCGAAATTAGGCGTGCGCGGCAAAATGGCCGCATCACCGACCTTTATAATCAGGCAGAGCCCTTTATTGAAGATTGAATGAGATGTTATTTCTGCCATAACGCTTCAGGCAATAGGAAACACTAGCAACTACGGCAGATAAGACTTAAGAGGACATATGGGTAATTTGGCTTTGCTTTTAGGAATGCACCCATTTAAGCTGGTAGGCCTGATTAATGAGCCTGTGGTAGTAAAAGAGTGAAAAATGAAGATTTTGCAGTTTGCTGCATTTTTGAAAATGGAGTCATTCGGAATGCCGTTCAAAACCGTGTTGACTCACTTAACCACTTCCCTGAACTTACGTTTTATAAGGGCTTTAGCTTCACTCGGCTGTTTTTTGATGAACTCGATTGATTACGGCAACTCTCTGATCATTCCCAGACCCAGGCCGCTAGACCCCACGTCTGACCGTGATCATGATTGAGCGAACAAACTTCGACCATGCTTTTGCTTGTACCAAATTGGAGCTCAATTTAGGTTGGTGGCATGCTACGATCAATGAAGACGACACTATTGCTATTGCACAGAATTTCTGCTCGCCTGTCACTCTTTCAGTGGTATATCCTTCTATCCGTAAAAAGAAGCCTGCCTTAGCAAAAGTGTTTCTCGAGAGGTACAGATTAGTTCCACTACAAACACCAAATCATAATGCACGCTTTAGAATTAATGAAAAGCACCCAGAATTGCTGCTAACGGTGTATCAGTCTCTTTTGAATCTGAAAACAGTTGACAGTTCTAAGTTACCTGATAGGGACAGCGATGTTTCCTTTGAGAATGACGACATTTCTTATGTAACTTCTGGAAGTACTGACATCTCAGAAGATGAAGAAAGGTACGGGCTTCTACAAACAACTCTGCATAAAGCGTTGTACTTATGTAAGATAACGATACACCTTTTACAAGCTCGATTACAGTGGAGACTTTGACGATGAGGAACACGGGGATGAAAATTCTGAGGACGAACAATCTTCCGAGGAAGAAGAAAGCTCCAGTAGTGATGATGAAGAAGTTACAGATCAAAAAAGCCGTCAAACAGTCAATAAGAAAGCACTGTTAGAAGAAGAAATCTTGCCAAGTTCTGATGAATCAGACGAATCTTCGGAGTCGTATAGTGATGACGATGACGAAGAGGAAGAAGACAGTGAAGAAAATGAAAGCTCATTCTTTTCAGATATACGCAAGGAACCAACAAGGTGAGTGATCTCTTTAATTTTTCAATGGTTCTTCAGTCAGAGGTAAAATTTTCAAGAGTCAGTGACCCCTCATCGTTTCGAACAGCGGCCGAATGTGGCGTGAAAAGGCGTGCGACTGTGAGCTCATCAAAATCCACTGCTTATCATCCATGATATCAAGCTAGAACTTGTTGTGTCTGCTTTTTCACAAGAATCTTTGCTCGTTGAATGGTTCAATCTCTTTGTGTGCTATAAAGCATTTGTTAATCATTTTATCATCACAGCATGCATGTCACATGTTTTGGTTCACGCATTTTGACAACTGGAAGAACGCTACAGAGAACTGAAACGCTGAGAGAACAAAATGTGCTATATACTAAAGCATTTAAAGATTATGACAGAAGGATGCCTTAATGGCCTAAGCTAGCAACAAACTAGTTGGAACCCGTTAAATGAAGGCAACAATTAGTACGTCACAGCGAAATTGTATCTACCTTTGTGCAAGCTACGTCCACATTGAATCTTTGAGAAAAGTACATTTTATCTTTTCCACTTTCTGTCCCGGCGTATTTCGGATCAGACTTCGACCGGACAGCGTATTGAGACTATGGCTCTGCTCTCTGTGATGTTGCTATGGGCTAGGTCTTTGTACTCCTGAAATTGCGAACAGCGAAATTTACGAAACTATTATGGATAGTAATTACAATCGCTGGGCCATAGATAGGTAACAGAACTCTGTATGAGCTGAGCCTTTTGACAACGTAGTCGATTGTTTAAAGATTTGCAAATACAGCAACAGAGCATTGTAAGCGAAAGACTCAGAAATAATTATAAAAATCTTGTTGGAAAGCAAGTTTTATGTTTACATGTTTTGAAGACACCTACAGTAATGAGGAGGTACAAAAGATTGGAAAATATTTCATTATTTAACAGCATCGATAGGGCGCGTTTGATGCTCAGGGAACTTGCTGTTCTTATAGGATGAAAAGTATGGGAAACAAAACAGCTTTGCCCCTGCAATATCCTCTTAGGAAGTAAGACTTGTAAAAACTTGAACAAGTGATAAGATCATTTGAAAGCAGATAACCAGCTATCTACGACTAATAGACACAAAGCATTCTTGGAGCTTTTTGATTGATAGCAACTCATCCGTTGAGGGTATTAGCAAAGAGGACATATTCTCCACACCCGTCACTACATCAAGTTTTGTCTTCTCCCTCCCCCACTCCTAAATAACACTCATCCATTGCACGAATCATACAATTCATACAATACTCCTCAATAATTACTCCCGAACGCTACAATCACCTTCCTCTTTTTCTTTATTCCACCCCTCATACCTCAGAAGTCACTGCTCATCACTGCCTTGCCGATTTTCTCTGCAAAATCAGCAATCTCGAACTCAAATGTCCCTGAGCACGAAAATTTAAGAAGGAACCACGAAATGAACAATAGACAAACAAAGGAAAGCTTACACCAGGAATGATATCCACGAAAGTCCATAATGGAGGAAAATAAACTTCCAAACCCCATTTTATTCGTTTGCGGTAGAAACTGGTCGAAATTTACTTTCGCTAGCGTTACCCAAAAAATTTTATCTCATCGCAACCACGAGGCAAAGCGGTGTGATGAAAATGATTCAACCCTACTTGAGCTCTCGCTTGCGACAGAATCATGCGAAAAGTCTATTTACAAGGGAACGATCCCAACTTAAGGTGGCGAATTGGAATGAACCGCATACCGTTGGATGCGCCTTAATGAGCTGATTCCAAATCTGTCTTCCATATCTGCGACAGCGTTATCTGCAAAAAGTTATGAGCGGTTGAAAATGTGAAGTTATCGGGGTTTCAATGCATAATATGCTTTAAAATCCAACTTGGAAGTGCACTACTAGCATGATATTGAGTGTACTGATTCCAGGGAATGCTCAAATTCTAAAGAAACACAGATAAGTGTTTTTGAACAACTAATTTTCGAGGTATGGCGCTGTACATTTGCTAAATTTGGTCTTTTCATTGCCCATAGCCTTTACCAAAGAACTTTAGTTGCTTTTTAGCTGTCTGTGCACTTATCTGTGTTTCTTTAAAATCTGAGCATTCCCTGGAAACAGTACACTCAATATCATGCTAGTAGTCACTTCAAGTTGGATTTTGAAGCATATTATGCATTGAAACCCCGATAACTTCACATTTTCAACCGCTCATAACTTTTTGCAGATAACGGTGTCGCCAATATGGAAGAAAGATTTGGAATCAGCTCATCAAGACGCATCTAATGGTATGCGGTTCATTCCAATTCGCCACCTTAAGTTGGGATCGTTCCCTTGTTAGAATGGGGCAAAATTGGATTTACCTCCATTTTAAATGAACTTGAAAGCCCATTTTACTCCCAGCAACAAAGTGAGCTGGGACTAAGCCCATTTTTGACCTTTTTGCATATTTTTGATGGTTTGATATTTTTTTTTTTTGAGAATGTGTTCCTCATCCCATTCTAAGGTAACAAGTGAGTGGAAAAAGTTACTTGTCCTTTATGAACGCTGAAATAAGTGTTTCTTTCTAAACTTATACAAACGCTATGAAAATCACGGAAAGGTTAAATTCACCAAAATATTCGCTAACAAACTCAAATGCTTCCAAATATCAGGTCAATGCGAATATTCCCATGTAAATCGAATAAAGTTTGTTAACCCTTCAAATTATCAACCAAAACTAAATTCATGATTTGTCTTTGAAAATAAGAAAGATTTGCGTTTTAATACAATTACTCAGAACCTATCTTTTGACTATTCTCGTAGAGCCGAACCTAACGTATGTGGAACAGTTTAGCCTACCACCTTCACCCGGATAGTAGAAACGAACAGTACATGAAACCGTTTCAGATGTGAGAAAGAGAAAGTTGTATGTGGCTAAAAAGGGTGAGGCAATCGGTAATGAAGAAGCCACTGCCACTTTTATGGACTGTCCAAAAACGCCGACGATTGGCTCATATCAAGTTCCAAAAACCTGACACCGCTGACTGAATTTGTTTTCCCTATTTTAAGAATGTCATGCGCTTTTTGAACGCAACTGTCTATGTAAATGACGTACTGCTCTTGCCCAAATATAGGAACCTAGCCCTAGTTAGTGAACATGTTGAAAAATGACTAATTTTACGAAGAATAATATAAAATCAAAGTCAGAAATATACCTAGTCAATCAGTACAATCAAACAAAACAATCAACAATCAATCAATTAGAGGCTCAGCAGAGAGATAGACCAGCATGCCTATAATGAATACAGACCAGAAGCAAGTCGTACAGAAATATTGAGTAATTGACAAATGGCAACTATCCTCAATTTTCTCTTGAAAGTTGACAGTTGCCAGCACTCAAAACTTCGTAAGGTATGCACCGTAATCATATAACCCCTAGACAGAAAATATGAGACAAACAATTTTGCTTGTCCCCTCCCCCCTCCCCCTACGTTTGGGTAATGCAAGTCGACTCCTCAGTATCCATGTGGGCATAAGGATTTTTTAAGTGCTAGGATTCAGCTTGACTTCTAGTTTCAAAACTCTGAGGCAAATCAAAAGATAATTTTACTCTTTTGTGAGCAAGGGACAGTTCCAGCTTTCTCAAGCACTTATGATAAATCAGGTCGGTACAGTCATGAGCGCATCTCTTCATTACAATTCTGGTCGAACTTCTTTGTCCTTTAAAATTTTTTGATATGTCTACTCGACCACAGCTACGAGCGGCATTCAACTTTGAACACAAAAGATGTGTAAAGTTGTAAGAGAATCCTAGGATTATCCGTGTACATTTTGGAGTTTAAAGAAAACAGGACTGAAGGCTGTGGTTACTATCATGTCTAAAAGCTCAGTGAAATAGGCTTATCAAAAGGAACGCAGAGACAGCGGATGAAAATTATTTCTTAAGTCCACACCACTCCCCTCGTAACTGCTTTTGACCACCGGCAAAGTGCATAGAGGAGGATGTTTTGGTCGAACGGCAAGCCCCAAGGAAAGACCCATTGCAAGTTGTCGTCTACATAATGATGCTTGCACTGCCTCACCTGAAGAGGTTCCCCGTCCCATGGATCCCATAAATTTTCAGATCATCAGGTACAATTTGACTTCGATGTATTTAGACGTAACGAAGCATGTGGAGATTAACTGTACAAAACAAAATTAAAGTGGAGAGAAGACCTAGATTCAAGTTATAACATGACGCCTTGTTACATTGTGAGAGAAAATTTCAAAGGAGTAGCCCCGGAAAATTGCGACTGCGAGCTTTCCACACCCACATGACCTTCTGGATGTGGAGCCTAGTGCTGTGCTTGAGAAGTCAAAAAAGTGCTTTTTACGGAGTTCCCCCCCCCCCCCTCCCCCCCCACCTTGGAGATAATCGGAGGGAATGGGCGAGGGATTCCCGCCGTAAACAGCAACTGGCTGCAGGAGACATAACTCGGATAATTGATAGACGGTGACTGACTGATCGGCTCAGGCAGCCAATTGCGATGTTGGCGGGAATCCTTCGCCCATCCCCTCCAGCTGTCGGGTGTAGGCCCTTTTGAACCCTTCGCGCGATGCCTCTTTCGCCGCGTGCGGCGCCGCTGGCAAAGCTAACAAGTCGCATTCACAGTCAACGGGAAAATCCTTAGTTTGAAGCATGTAATATACGTGTGCCAAAACCTATCATCATGTTGGACACGAACGATGTAGAAAAATGATGCTTCGTCCTGCTCATAGCCTTGTCAATGGTAGTGAACATGTTGACCAATCAGAGGCGCGCCGTGATGGCGAGCGGTTCAAAAGGGCCGTTTCTTCCAGCTATCTCCAGAGAGGAAAACGCCGTAAAAAGTACTTTGTTGACTTTTAAGCACAGCACTGGACTCAGCGCATGCAGAAGGACAACAGGTACGGGGAAACGGCCCTTTTGAACCGCTCGCTACGGCGCGCCTCTGATTGGTCAACATGTCCACTACCATTGACAAGGCTATGAGCAAGACGAAGCAATATTTTTCTACATCGTTCGTGTCCAACATGATGATAGGTTTTGGCACACGTATATTACATGCTTCAAACTAAGGATTTTCCCGTTGACTGTGAATGCGACTTGTTAGCTTTGCCAGCGGCGCCGCACGCGGCGAAAGAGGCATCGTGCGCGAAGGGTTTAAAAGGGCCTACACCCGCTGTGGACGGCTCGCAGTCGCAATTTTCCCGAGCCACCGCCTTTAAGCATTAAAATAGAAGTGCATGTGTTTATTATCAGTTACACGATTCAAAAACGAAAATACCAAAATCGGGACTCGAGAGTTATGGTTTTCTATTAGAAAATGAAGTCGCTTTGAGTTTGCAACTTACAAGGGAAGTTAGTTGAGTTAGCTAAGTTAGCTCGGCCTTTCGGCAAGGGACACATATATTCTAAGTCAGCTTCGAACGCTGATTCCGAATATGCTATTCCTAGCTGCCATTCCGAAGCGAGTTATGGACTTTTTCCTGCGCAATTGGCATACCCATCGACTTACTGGCATCACGGCATCATCTCTTAAGTGCTGGTGCACCTGCATTCTGCTGCTTTCTAGTGAGAAATGATTGGATTTGTGTTATTTTGATACCAGTGCGTTACCTCTGCTTCGCAGAGGCACGCACTGGCCGTTTTGGAAAGATGAAA